CTTTTGGTTGTAGTTTCAGGGTCGCAGCTCGCCTCAGGAAGGTTGAAGTGCACTCTTCAATCTTCTCTCTTGTCTCTGCTCCAAACCATCAGCTAATTTGCTAAGGTTCTGTCCTTTCAGCCTCCTTCTGGACGGGCTCTTGCCCGGTTTTTAATGGGGTTGTTTGCTCTTTTTTTGTTGATTTGCTGGAATTCTTTGAAAATTCTGGCAATTAGCCGTTTGTCAGATTAGTAACATGTAAGTAAACATGTAAGTACCTTCTCCAATTCTGAAGATTATCTCTTTGCATTGTTGATTGTGTCTTTAGCTACACAAAAATGTTTTAAATTGATGAGGTCTTATTCTTTCTATCTTTTTGAAGTAGTCCCTTAGTACTGTGAAGTTCCTTCTTAACCCTGCTTTTTCTTTATCTCAGAGATTTTCACAGTTTGTATTGCCTCTGGCCATGCACTTTAAACATTATTTTCATTTCCACCTGGATTATGTCACTGACCCAAGGATTATTCAGTAGAAGTTATTTAATTTGCATGCATATGTGTCATCTTGAGAGTTTCTTTTGGAATTGATTTCTAGCTTTATTCTACTGTGGTCTGAGAAGATACATGGTATGATTTTGATTTTCCTAAATTTACTGAGTCTTGTTTTATGGCCCAGCATGTGATCTGTCTTGGAATATGTCCTATGTGCTGATAAGAAGAGGGTGTATTCTGTAATTTGGGGGTAGAATGTTCTGTAAATGTCTTTTAGGTTCACTTGATGTAGAGTGCAATTTAAGTTAAATGTTTTCTTTGCTGATTTTCTGCTGCAGTGCTCTATTCTGTCAGTGGAGTATTGAAGTTCCTGGTTATTTTATTATAGTGTTGTTATTTCTTTTCTTATACTATATACATATAATATTTGTTTTATGAATCTAGGAGCTCCTATGTTAGGTATGTATATATTTAAATTTATTATATTTTCTGATTGAATTAATCTTTTTATTATATAATGACTTTCTCTTTCTTTTTATTTAACCATTAATGATTTAAAGTCCATTTTATCTGATATAAGTATGGCCCCTCTTGTTACCTTTGGTTTCCTTTTTTTTTGCAGTTTTTGGCTGGGGCCCAGTTTGAACCTACCACTTCCGGTACATGGGCCTGGCTCCCTACTCCTTGAGCCACAGGCACCACCCTTTGTTTTCCATTTTTATGAAATACTTTTTCTACTCATTTACCTTGATTCTGTGAGAATATTTACAAGTTAAATGAACTTCTTGGAGACAGCATTTATTTGGGTTTTGTTTTTGGTCTAATCCATTTAGTCAACCTTTTAATGGGGTGTACTTAAGACTGTTTATGTTCACTGTTTGTATTGGTGTTTGAGATACTATTCTGATCATGTTAACTGTTATCTAGTTGCTTTGTTTTTTTCCCCTTGTATTACTGTTTTATAAGAGCTGTGAGTTTTAACTTTTTGTATTTTTACGCTGGCATGTATTGATTACTCTATTCAATGCATACAGCAATTTTAAGCAATTCTTGTAGGAAAGTTCTAGTGGTCACAAGTTCCCTTACTGTTGGCTTGTCTGGGAAAGATATTATTTTTCCTACATTTATGAAACTTAGTTATTCTAAGATATAGAATTCTTGACTGGAAGATATTCTGTTAAAAAGATTAAAAATGAGACCCCTATCTCTTCTGGCTTATAAGATTTCTGCAGAAAAATATGCAATGGCTCATTAATTTGCATGTCATCCTTGCACAGGGGCCATACTAATCTTCTCTGTATCATTCTAGGTTTAGTTTAGATACTGCTGTAGCAAACACTATTACCCTTTAATGTTTTTAAGGTAGATGCCAGCCCTGATAATCATATAAAATGTAATTGTGTTATTTTGTCACAATGCTCAAAAATAAGTTTATTTTTGTAACAGGGTGATACAAAAAGAAATTTGTAGTACTTCACCTCTTTCTTTTGAAGTAATCACTTCCCAGTTCCTTAACTGAAAGGATAGCCATGTTAAGGACTGTCTCTGCTAGAAACTAAAACCCAACTCCAGTATTGCCCATGGAATTTGAATGCTCCAGAACTCAAACAACTTGGAATCCAAATGAAAAATTCAAGCAAATTTTTCCAAAGTCTTAATGCTGTTTTGGAATCCAAACGCCTAGCACATTGTTTACGTGGTTTTGTGCCTACATTTCCCCAGTGCTCAGTCTACCCACCTGGTTTGTCATTCAGTTCTTTGTTGGAAGCTGTAGTGAAAGCATCTCGTGTGATTTTCACTGCTAATTTTATGCTTTTGTGTCTGTTTTTTGTTTTTTTAATATAATAACAACTAAATATATTTGCCATGGTCCTACAAAGTATAGTGAGGAAAATAAGAGTAAGAGGGAAGCTGATAGAGCTACAATTGAAGTTAAGAAAGATCTTATCACTAAGCATGAAAGTACAAGTGTGGCTGGTCTCACTACCATGTTTGGGATGCCTAAATCAACTGTTTGTATGATTTTGAAAAATAAAGAAGCTATCAAAGCATCTGATGTGATGAAAGGGGTTATGACACTGACCTCTAGGAGATAAAAAAAGTATAGAAGAGATGGAAAAATTCCTCTGGATTAATGAAAAACAGCTGGCTGGTGATGTGATTTCTGAGACAATAATTTGTGATAAAGTCAAGGTCCACTATGATGATTTAGTGAAATGCATACTTGATACTAGTACTCAAAAGGAGGAGTTTAAAGCCAGTAGGGGGTGGTTTGAAAACTTTAAAAAAAGGACTGGGATCCATAGTGTTATGCACAGAGAGGCTGCCAGTTCTAATTCAGAAGCAGCAAAAGTCTTTAAGAGTTTAAGGAGTTTGTGAACAGTGAGGGGAATGTTTCAAACGAAGTATTCAATTGTGATGAAACAGGCCTTTATATTTTTAGATTTATATATTTTTAATTTTATTAATTTACCTTTTTATGCAAATGTTATTATTTGTTAATATTTTACCTTAAAATTCAGTATATTCACTGGTAAAATCATTTTGAAAATTCGAGTTCGTGGGACCCAGAAATGGATTAATCCAGTTTCTGTTATTTTAAAAGGGAAAAATTATCTGGGAACTTGAATAATTTGGAATCCAGGATTCTGGAATGGATTAAGTTCAGATTCCAAGATATTACTGTAGTTATTAAAAGCAAATTCTGAGATAGCTTCTTTAGATGTTTTTCTCCAAAGTTACTGGTAGCTGTTAGAGCCAGCAAAGAGCTGGGGCAGAGGGAAGGAGAGAAGAGAGAGTTCAGTGTGAGAAGTGAGCATTGCAGAAAAAAATCCCTCTTGAATTAGTTAAATACACACATTTAGACTAATAAAAATGCCTTTTTGATTCAGACAGAATAGGAATCTTATAGGATTGGGGCAGGTTGAGCTAAGTCAGAGTTAGACTTTATCACTGGGCATTGGGGGTTCCAGATGCCCTTGGGTGGGGTGTGTACATTGCAGTTAAAGTTTCTCGGTCAAGTCTTGGATACCTTTTGTGCTCTGCACTCAACTCTGCCTCTATGTTAGGAAGAGAATAACGGATTTGCTAGATAAGTGTCCATGACGCTTAGGAAACCTAATTATTTAGGTTTGAGATTGTCAGCCAGAAGACCTAGACTATTTATTTTGTGTTTTCACTGCTTCCTTGGTTCTAAAAGGTCATTATGCTAAGAGTGATAGCAGGAGTTTGTTCAAGATGCTGATTCCTGGCCACACCTCCCCCTGTTTCTGATGCAGTAGATGCATATTGTCAACCAGATCTTTAAGTGCCTTTGATGTGATTTTTGACTGTGTCCCAGATATACCCACTTAGATAAGACAGAAGGCTGAATTGGAAGGAGGAGTGAAATAGTGTAGGACATTGCAGTAGTTTACCTCCTTATTCTCTGCTGTACCTGATTTACTATGACTAATGTTTCAGGAAAAGTGAGTAGGGATGAATGAGTTCACCAAGGGACTTGGGTGAAACATGGCACAGAATCCCCCATTCATATTGGTTGTATGTGATGGGGGATGTTAGTAGAAAGGAAAGTGAGAAGTCAAGAGGAATGGTCTCTATCAAAATAATTTATTTTTCCTTCTTATCAGTACCTAAATTTTGTAAAGCATTAGGAAGGGAAAATTGATGCAACTGTTAAGCAGATGGCCCAGTACAAAAGTGCATTGTATTATTATCAAATCTTAGTATGACTATGGGTTTGAATTAAATAATCATCTCACAGAAAGGAAAATAAGCTTCAACAGAGCTAATCCTGACCCAGTTAAGAATTCCTAAATGAACTGTAAAATTATAACTGTGCAAGAGGGACTCCATAAAGGCTGTGTTTATATTGATGTATATGGCAATGCCTGAAAAGCACAGAAAGTATCTAGCTCTAATCAGCCCATTTAAAAATTGTGCCTACTAAAGCTATAGTATAATAGACCATTTGATCCTTATTTTAAGAGGACTAAAGACTTTTCAGATTCTACATGGAACTTTACTCTGTGAATAGGTCCTTAGTGTGCAATTAGTCACTTTTTAAGCCATTAATTATAAATCACTTACTGCAGAATTATTTGTTCTCAGTTCAGTCTGCCAAGAGTACATATGTGCTAAGGTGCTTCTTGTACTAATTTGTAAAATAGCTGGAAATGATCTCATTGAATGGTTCCATTTTCAAATTGTGGGCTCCCAATTGGATTAATTCAAAATTGAGTTTTCACCATCATACTCACAGATGACACTTTAAAGAGTCTGGAAGTGTACTGCTTGTACTTGAGAACTGAGGCAAAAAAAAAGATTGTAGAAGACACATCCCTGGCAGAGAAGGCTGAGCAAGAAGATTGAGAGAGGGAAGTTTCCTAGAAGGTTCAGTCTGATAGCTCTTTGCCTTAGCTTCAGAAGGCCTGGTATTTAATAAGCTCAGTGGAGTTTACATATAGCCAAGATCGTGGAATAACACTGAAGAAGAAGAAACATACATGCCAAATTATAACTTGGGAGCAATTGATTTTTTGTCTAGAAAGAGAGAAAATTCGGTGAATGAATTCTGAAGCTATTAGATTAGGTCAGATCATGAGGAGGATGAGGTGAGACAACAAATAAAGATCTGTGGTGGTATTTTTTTTTTTCTTTTTTTGTTATTGTTGTTGTTGTTTGTTTGTTTTAAGACAGCGTCTCACTCTGTTGCCCAGGCTAGAGTGCTATGGCTTCAGCTTAGTTCACAGCAACCTCAAACTTGAGTGATTTGAGTGATCCTCCTGCCTCATCCTCTTGAGTAGCTGAGACTATAGGCACTTGCCACAGTGCTTGGCTAATTTTTCTGATTTTTAATAGAGATTTTTACTCTTGCTCAGGCTAGTCTTGAATTTTTCATTTCAAGTGACCTCCTGCCTTGGCCTCCAACAATGCTAGGGTTATAGGCATGAGACAACTGTGCCCAGCCATGGTCTATGGTTTTAATGTGTTCATTTTCTTTTAAATATCCATAGTTGATGGGCTCATTTGCAGTCAAGTGCTACATCCTAGTGGTATAAGTATGGTATGAATTATAACTTGAAGGAATTACCAAAAATTCTTTTCTGAACCAGGCATCTAGGAAGAAAACAGATAGATCATTTAAAGATAAATGAACAATGTTGATCTGGAGTTTGACACACCACAGATTATTTTTCTGAGATAATCCTAAATTCAGTGACTTCAAAATACATTTTGTACTAGGAACGTAGGAAATAATACCCAAGATTATAAAGAAAATTACTGAAACAGCCAACTTTTAATAATATTTTGTGAAGCTAGAGCTACCTGGAAAACTTGATAAGATTCTTATATTTACAAACCTCAGAAACATACTATGTTATCCTCAGCTATAATAACCTCACCAGCTGGGCCTTTGGAGTGATATAAAATTAGGCAGTGACTAGCATTTAGCACACAAATTTGATATCAGGCAATCTGGTTTTGATGATTTGTTAGCTAAGTGTTTGATTTGCAAGTTTATAAAATTTGTGAAGCTGTAAAGATTTGTTTTTAGTGAAAAAGTTCAAATGATGGAATGAAACGCTAAGTTGGTTTTGGGAAATATAACCAGGGGATGAACAATAGAAATGAAACTGAATCCTCCTGATAAATATTTTATTTGTTGTACTTTCATTTCTTTTTACTGCTATACACATTTATTTCCCAGTGCTAATTTAGAAGAAAATTTAGCTTTATTATGAATTAATTTAATAATTAATTAGAGTTGATCTTTATAGCAACTTTATAATACATTTATTAGAATGGATATTTAAAAGTTCTGGATATTTCTGGGCACAGGCATTTTCATAACATTAGATGTTTCTTCTCTTTTCCTTTCCTTCTTGTTTTTTTCATCCCATAAGTACCAAAAGACCAAACCCAATGGACTACAGTTGCCCATGCAACTAAAAACCTCAACATGACATCAAAAAGACGATAAACCAGGAAAAAGGAAACCCCTGTCAGTACTCTAAAAGCAGATTCTTCAGAATGTTTACTGTCAGAATAATTTTACCTAAGGAACATCCATATTTCCCCATTCTCTTATAATAATTGACATCTTTTTTGGGCAGGGAATGGCAAAAATTTGTGCAATTAACCATATTATAGCTTTCTGTTTTCCTCATTGCTCAGTCACCTTTTGATTTTAAATATTTGAAAGATAAAAGGAGGATGACATAGTTTTTCTCCACCTGAGAAAAGAATCTGTGTTGGATAACAAGTCTTCAGTGTCCTACATTGAAACTTTAAGATACTGCATTTTGTTATTGTTTAAAGAATAATTAGAGGAA